GTTATAATATAATGCACGGGGAGGTAGCTGGATCATTGGATTCTCTCGTCAAGCAAAGTACCCCTGTGAGAGTATAATTGAAAAGAGAATAATTTCCTAAGCTCTTATCGTTCCTGACAAAGGGCAGCCCCAGCGAGGCATTCGTCGAAAATAGTCTGGGGAAGATATGAGCATCATGAGTTAGCAGCATGGGAAGAGGGAATGCCTTCAATATTCCCCACAGGGTTCTTTGGGTTGCCATCGTAACTGTGGGGGTCGGGATGATCAGAAGAAACATCACCGTGCTTCTCATCACTCCTGACGCCATCCTTGCCATTCTGTGGAGCTGGGTGAATGAGTCTCTCCGGTACCCACACTGGGGTCTCAGCTTCCTGTGGAAACACACAAACAGAGCCTCTGGTCAGGGCCATTCCACTGTCCTGTGAGCACATCCTTCCAGTACACCATAGGTAGAGGTGCAGACTGCAACGTCACATGGCAGTCGGCAGCCGTGTGCCTGTGTACATCCTGAATCAAAAAATTAATGATGAAAAGAGCTATGTTAATTCTCTCCCCAGGGGATTTGTAGTCCACCCCATCCCCCTTTTTTGTTTTTGTAGATAGAGTTTGAGTATTTGGTGGGCACGTTCCACAATCCCCTGGCCCTGTGGGTTATAAGGAATGCCATGGATTAATTGGATTCCCAGTTGATGACAGAAGGTGGTGAAACGGGTCGACGTATAAGCCGGGCCATTGTCTGTTTTGAGGACCTTAGGCATGCCCCAGGCAGCAAACATCTGCCAGCAAACGGCAATCACATCTGTAGCCTTTTCTCCAGCTCTTGGGGTGGCTATAATCACCCCAGAATAGGTATCTATTGCAACATGGAGGAACTGCAACCGTCCAAAACTAGGAACATGCATGACGTCCATTTGCCAGATGTGGTTTGGCCTTAGTCCTCGAGGGTTGACTCCCAGGGAGGGTACAGGTAACGAAGTCACACAATGCTTACAGGATTTAACTATTGCACGGGCCTGTTCACGAGTAATGGGGAACTTGATGCGAAGGGTTTGTGCATTGACATGGAACAAAGAGTGTAGGTGCTCTGCCTTTTGGACTGGTGTCAGGGTAGGAAATACAAACACTGCTCTGGTAGCTAGGTCCGCTTGTGAATTACCTTCTGCCAGCGGGCCTGGGAGACCAGAATGAGCACATATATGCAAAATGCAGAATGGATTAGCTCGTGCACAAATTTCCTGTTGTATAGCTGTGAACAGCTCACAAACAGTGAAAGAAGCTTTTATTTGTCCCATTGATTCCAAGGAGGAGACTGCATTGACCACATATTGGCTATCAGATCGAATATTAAAAGGCTCATGGTAGTTTTGGAAAATATGTAGAACTGTAGCGAGTTCAGTCATCTGTGGTGAACTAAATGGGAACAGAATAGAGACAGGAGGGTGACCTTCCATAACATAACCTCCAACTCCATCCTTAGAACCATCAGTGAATATGGTAATAGCATGTTGTATGGGATCAGAACGGGTAATTCGAGGCCAAACGAGAGGATTCCTCATAGCAAAGTGTAGCAAAGGATGTGCAGGATAGTGATTATCAAAGGTACCTGCAAAAGAAGTGGCTAAAACTGTCCACTCGTCATTCGAGTGCATTAAGATCTCCACCTGCTTGGGGAAGTATGGAGTTATTATGCACTGAG